TGTGTCATGGACTGTGCCCTGGACTGCCAGCAGAACAACCAGATGTAGAGGTGACCTGGCTGGACCCTCAGGAGGGCAGATGGTTAGACCTTGTCTCATGTACTCTGGTCGTGCTGTCAGGAGTATGCCAGTGCTGGAGAAGGACATCAGTGCTCAACAGGGTCAGCGAGAAAGAGGAAGAGCACCAGTGAAGTGGACTCAAGCAGAGCACTGAAGGTGAAGACGACACATGGTCAGGCGGGGCTGTGTTCCGTGGTGCAGGGGGACTGCTGGGAGTTAGAAGCCTTAACAGTCACAGCTTGGACAACCCTGTGATGCAGTTCAGCTTGGGCCCACACAGGTCGCCATGAACTGGGGTTGACTTGGTGGCGTCTTACAAGGACCACAGGATTCCACCAGTCAACACTCCAGAAGGAACATGACTGGTCAGCATCTTAATTCTACTTCAGATGTGATGGATAAAGGAAAGAAATAAAAACAAACCCAACCCATTACTGTAGGGTGGATTCGGACTCACAGTGCCCCCAGAGGACGGAGCAGAAGTGCCCCGCAGAGGTTCCAAGGCTGTGAATCCTTAAGGAAGCTGACTGACACGTCTTTGTCCTCTGCAGAAGATGGTGGTTTTGAACTGCTGAACTTTTGGTTAACAGCCGAGTGCCTGATCTCTGCATCACGAAGGTTCCTCATATAAGAGGGAAAATGGCATCTGATCAATCTGATAATGAATCTGATGAAGGCAGTAAATATTTTTCTATGTTTCAGACAACACCTAAAATTGATCACTCTAGAGCCAGCCTTAAGTGTGAAATAGAAGTGTGAATGTTGAAAGTTGAGAAAGATGTTTTTAAAATAGTCCCAACTTAAAAAGTCACTCTTAATTCATCTAAGTGGTATAGCACTGGTCTGTCCATTTGCTGTACAGAGGTAACTCGTGGTTGCTGTGAAGCTGAACACTGTGACATTGATGTGTCAAATGTGTTAATGGTTACCCATTGTGGACTGTGTTTGGTGGAACTCCCCAATTAAAACAAACTTGGAAGCAGGAGTGGCATCCACTTCCAAAATAGCTTGCCTCCAGAAATCCTATGAACTTGGAGAAATGATGAAAGTTATACAATTGTTCAGGTCTTTCATTCATAGGGTCGCTATGAGTCATCTATGACTCGACAGCACTTAACAACAACAACATTGTCAATATAGTCTTTGCTGTAGACGACTTTCCACTCATGGACGTGCTACCCTCTCCCTCATTGCTGCCAACTCACGACCACAGTGGACCCTCCAGCAGGTTTCTGGAGGCTGGAAGTTGCCAGAGAAGATTTCCCTTCTATCTCCCAAGGGGTGACTCGTGGATCTGATCCACCAGAGAGATGACCCCTTGGGGTTAGCAGTGCAACTATCTGCAGACTATGCCACAGGCTAACTCCCTGTGCCCCCTTCACTCAGAGCTGACGGCCAGAGTGAGCTGCTGTGTCCACAGGACGGTGCCCGAGGCAGAGGGTGTTTGCCGCCCCGATGCCAGTGCCTTCATGCACACGTGGGCACACACTCAGAACCGAAGGTCTGGCAACCGGGCCCAGGCCTGCTACACAGTAGGTGCGCAATGTACACACGTGAGCCAAGCGAACGGACAGAACCCCGGGCCTCTCTTTATCATCACATTGGTCTATCATGAGCTCACTCTAGTAGCTAAACCCCATCACATGCTTTTTTAAAAAAATTAATTTTAATGAAAGTTTATAGAGACTTAGGGTTTCCAATCATTCATTGTTGCACTTTTCTCCCTGTCTACCCCTCCCCCTCAATTTGTTCTTCTCTTTGAAAAGAAAAAGAAAAAATTCTTTCATTGTTATACAATCCCTCCTCCCAAGTCCACTCCACTAAGCAGCCTTCATTCTGGACTCCTGTCATGACAATAATACCTGATCATATATCCCTTTTAAACAGTTCTCTCCCTCATCTGTTTCAATGCAGTATACATAATTTATCTCCTCTTTCTCAGTCTCCCCCAAACCCTGATGTCATA